TTATAAAATAGATGGATTTGAGTAAAATGGGGAATAATCCCCAGATTCTCCTTGTTCTTTTAGTTACTTTTCCAAGCCACTCACTTTGTGCACCTATGAAATACTGGTATTCTTGGGCGAATCTTGATAGCTTTTGAGTGGCAAAACCAAATCAACTTTGTGTTTAATCTGAGCTATGAATAATAGATAACTTTTCTTAATTGGAAAGAGAAGAATTTATGTAGATAAGTTGAAATGATCTTCCCTGAAAATCAGACTGAGGCAGTAGAAAAAACCCAAACGTGATTATAGGTGCAACAAATACATACAAATAAGTTTGTGACTTTAAAATAGTCCCTTTAGCTTTCAGGTACTTCTCATGGTGTTTTGGTTTATTACTGGCATAAAACAAAAAAGAAGCTGTAGGGCTAGATGGTGATTAGAAAAAATCCAAAAGGTTTCATGCACATTTGCTCCTAGTGAGAAACTCTTTCTCATGAGGGCATTGCAATTTAGTTCTGATGGTCCGTGTCCAAATTGCATGGATGCTAAGCGTTGTTAGAGAAATGACAGACTAAAATAGGGAATTGAACAGTGTGTAAGTCAGAATCTATCCATCTGGAACTAGCAAGCCAAGGCAAGGATTACCTTATGATCTGCAATTTAAATGCTAAACATGAAGATCTCCTAAAACAAATGCAGTATCTTAATCTGAAAATTCCAGCAAAGTACAGCAGTAGCTAACATCATCGGTGGCTCTTAGAATCATAGTTCATGGAAGAGTAGTAATAGCTTTCTAAGCTAAATGTTAAGCTTCTGGAATGGTATTTCTTAATTATTATTTTACTGAAACTCCGAATTAGAGTTTTAAGTTTATTGACGAAGTTGACATTGAAAAATAAATAGGAAACTGTGGAAGATAAAGATTGTAAATTGTAGTAAACATTAATGCAATTGAAACAGATAGTGCACTGGAAAACTAGTCTAATCCTTTTTGTACACCTTTTAGCATTTACTAACTTCTTACATGATAACATATTCCCAAATGATTTCTGCAGTTAATGTTCTGGCCAAAATAGGACTTCCAAAAAATAATGATGAAAACAGAAACAAAAATATGAATAATGTCCACTATGTGCCAAATATAAGTTTAGACATTTTCAAAAATTAACTTTTATGGTTTCTCATAAGAAATATTCAGGGCTGGGTGAAGTGGCTCACTCCTGTAATCCCAGCGCTTTGGGAAGCCAAGATAGGCAGATTACCTAAGGGCAGGAGTTCAAGATCAGCCTGGCCAACATAGTGAAACCTTGTTTCAACTAAAAATACAAAAAACTGCCGGGTATAATCCCAGCTACTCAGGAGGCTGAGGCAGGATAAATGCTTGAAACCAGGAGGCAGAGGTTGCAGTGAGCCAAGATCACACCATTGCACTCCAACCTGGGCAACAAGAATAAAACTTCTCAAACAAACAAACCAATAAATAAATAAATAAAATGTTCTCATCATTACTATCATTATGTAATAAATAAAATTCAATTACTAAGTAAATTGTCCAAGGTTACAAACGTGCTAGGTACTTGAACTGATACTGAACTTCAATCTCTTATTCCAAAAACCATGCTGTTTGCTTTTTGCCATGAATTGTGGTATAAGAAAAATAAGCATCTTTAGGGGACAACACATTTCTTCTGACCAAAAAAAAAAAAAAAAAAAAAAAAAGCCTCTCTTAGCTAAGGTTGGCCTTTGGTCATTCTCTGTCTCAGCCAAAGTTTCTACAAAACACATTTAGAAAATATGGCTGAAGACAGAAAATATGGAATACACTGGTAATTGGAGTGCTGTGACGAAGGGTATTTCAAAAACTATTTGTACTAAACCCTTGGGTCTCACTCCAATTGGCACATGTAATAGAGCAGACTTTGGTGCAACACAGATTTGTCTCAGATTTAGATTTGCCACTTTCCAGCTCTGTGGCTTTAGTAAGTTAGCTTTTTTGAGCCTATATTTTCTTTCTGTTGATCTGGAATAATAAAAGTCAATTCTAAGAGTTTCTTTTTGGCAACTAAATGAGAAAATATGCATTTTAAAAAACAATATAACGCCTTTGGATTGATAAATTTATATTTTGGCCATGCAATCCATAAGATGTCAGGTTAAAGGAGAAATTGGTCCTTTTCTGAACATCAAAATGTGCATCTCAGTTTTGCAATTGCTGTTGCCCTTTTTCAAAGCACTAAGATAATTAGCTCTTGAAATCTGCAAAACAGAGTTTTGTTTACATTTTTATGAAGAAAAAAATCACCTAATTTTTTCACAGCAAAATATCTAGCTTTGTCAATATAATCTTACTGAGAATAAAGTATTTAAACTTTGTTCCTACTTCCTTTAAACAAGGTGAGGTTATTGTGTCAAATTGTGTTATATGAATATACATTTTTTTTCTAGAAGTCTAACTGTTCCATGTGTATATGTGTATCTCAGATTTTTATGTGGATAAAGAAGAGCTGGACAACCTAGCATTCAGTCTCACCAATTCCAGACAATTCCTGGGTACACCTGGAGTTGATGATGTTTCAGTGTTTCATGCAGTAGGGACGTTAATTAAATTTTCTCTGAGAATTATCGTCAGCCAAGCATATAGAAGTGAAAATGCAAATTAAAACTTTTAAAAAGAGAGAAAAAGAATCGTAATTTATATCTTCCAATCTAATTCAATACAATCTCTAAAACAAAGTCCCAGCAGGCCTTTTAGCAGAAATTGACAAGTCATTCCTAAAATGTATATGGAAACGCAAATTATTCATAACAGCCAAAGCATTTTGTCAATGGAAAAGTTGGAAAACTCTTATTTCCCAATTTTCTAATGTACTATAAAGGAGCAATAATCTAAACAATGTGGTGCTGCTGAAAGAACAGGAATATTGATCAGTGAAACAGAGTTGAGACGACAGATAACAAAGTACATTTATAGCCAATTGATCTTTTAAAATTTATTTTCATTGATACATAATAATTGTATAAATTTATGGGGTTGTAATATTCTGATACATGTGTAATAATAAAATCAGGATATTTAGGATATTTGTCACCTAAAACATTTGACATTTCTTTGTGTTGGGAACAAACATCGTCTAGAAGAGATATGAAATTGCAATAAATTATATGGCCTGTTGATTTTTGACAAAAGAGGTCAAGGCAATTAAGTGAGGAAAAAATAGTCTTTCCACAAATGTGCTGCAAAAATTGAACAGCCACATAAAGTATGATGAATTTAGACTTTTACCTCTTACCATATACAAATATTACCTGAACCTGGCTCAAAGATATTAAATGTCGGAGCTAAAAACTTAAAAAATAAAAAAAATTGAGAAGAAAACACAGAAAAAGCATTCCATAACTTCAGTGTGGCAAAATGTTCTTAATAGCCTAAAATACATTTAAGAACATGAAAAAACAAATCACAGACTACGAAAAACATTTTGCAAATTAGGCATCTGATTAAAAAATACTTACATGTAGAGTAGAAATAACTCTTACAACTTAATATGAAGAAAACAACCTCATTTTTGCAAAATGGGCAAAGTATCTGAATGGACATTTCATTAAAGAGGATATGCAAATGATAACAAACATACGAAAATATGGACAATATAGTCATGGAGTGAAATGCACAATAAAACCTCAATGAGATACCACCTGAGATGCACTAGAATAGTTATAATCAAAATTATTGAACATATCATGTAAACGTGGACAAATGGAAACTCATATAATGTAGGTAGGAATGTAAAATGGCAGCAATACTTTAGAAAATACCTTGGCACTTCCTTCAAAAGTCAAAACATGTATTTATCTTGTGACTCAGCTATCCCATTTCTAGGTATCTACTCAAGGGAAATGTTAACATGTGTTCACACTTTTTTTTTCTTTTTCAGACAGGCACTTGCTCTGTCACCCAGGCTGGAAGGTAGTACGTAATCATTGCTCACTGCAGCCTTGAATTCCTGGGCTCAAGCAAACCTGCATCAGGCTCCCAAGTAGCTTGGACTACAGGTGCATGCCAGCAGACCCAGCTAAGCGTTATATTTTTTGTAAAACAGGGTCTTGCTATGTTGCTCAGGCTGTTCTTGAACTCCTGACCTAAGGTGATCCTCTGGTCTCAGTCTCCCAAAGAGCTGGGATTACAGGGATCAGTCATTGCTCCCAGCCTACACAAAAACTTTTAAGGGAAAGTTCATAGCAACATTATTTATAAAAGTCAATAACTAGAACAATACAATTTGTATCAACTGGTGAACAGGGAAAAATATATTCATCAATAGAAACAAATTATTGATATACACTACAACATAGATGATCCACAGAAACACTGTGCTAAGATAAAGAAGCAAGATGCAAAAACCTACATATTGTATACAACCTTAATATGTGGCAGAGGCTAGCCTATAGAGACAAAAATTGTATCACTGTTTGTCTGGACCTGAAAGTAAGAACTGCAATTCACTGCAAAGAGACAAAATGTATCTCTCCAGGGTGATGGAAATGTCTTAAGACTTATTGCATAATTCTATAAATGTAATAAATCACTGAATTTTATACTTCTAATCAATACATTTTAGGCATGTAATTCCTACTTTAATAAAACTGTTTTAAAATGTAGGTAAAATAATGGGATTCCTTATTCTCAAAGCAACACTGAAAACACAAAAATAAAATCAGTGGAAATATTCACTGGTTTATAAAAGCAAAAGTATTTTGTTCATCAAGAGTCTAAGTCTCTAATAAACACTTTGATTAACTGTTTTATTGTCTGGAGGTTTTGATAGAATATACAACTTGCTTTAATGCATTCAAATACCTAGACCAAAGGAATATTTATCATTTGTTTTTTAATTGAAATTTTCATCATCTTTTAATGCTAGTTTTGGAAAAAATGTTTTTTAAAAAGTTACTATTTCCAAAAGTATCTTTTTAAAAAATATTCAGCAGGCTAAATTATGTGTTTTAAGGCTGCTTGGAGAATATTTAAGTAATATGGAAAAAAAAATCCATCAGTTAATGGATGTGATATAAATGGAGAAATATTCCTACATTTAGAAAAGTAGAAGAAACATTTTTGATAGTTACATCACGTAGTACATGGAATATTTTATTATATACATTTGAGGTGCACAACCTGATGTTTTGCTATACATACGCAAAGTGAAATGATTTCTACAGTTGCATTTTTAGACATCCTTTGAAATCATTATAGCACATGTGTTTTAAGACATTATTGCGTAAGCCTCTAAATTAATAAATATCACAATGAAATTACATTTTAGCTACCTGTGAATAAATGTGACATTAAAAGCAAAAAGTCAGAGATTTGATACTACTGAGGAAAAAAGGCTAGTATTAGAAGTCAAGGAGAAAATTAAGTGAATTTAAAGATATTACTTTTTAAAGATATTACTTCACATACATGTGAAGATATAGGTAGAGATGGGTACACAGAGAGGGAGGAAACATATGTATATATTTACATACACACATATTTATATATAATGTTTTATTTATTGGGTTTCCATGACTCATTTAGATGATCTTGCCTCAAGGAAGTGAGTATCTGGAAATATAACTTTGAATCCTAAAACAGTGCTGAGAGAGACGAACACAGCAAACAGAAGTTTCTATGCAACAGAAATAGATTCCAAAGTATGATATGTTGGATTTGATGTTTTATTAAGCACTGGAGGTGTTTTGCCTATAAACAATTGCAAAGATGTATCTTATATTTGCTTAATGTTCTATGAATCTCAGATGAATTTGCCTCCATCATCACTTCAGATATTCCAATAATATAGTTGATATTCTATTTAAGTGCTAATGTAAGTACTATTTTCAGAGCCATTTCACATGTGCTAAACAATAAAAGCTGGCGTATTGTACAACACATAAAGAAATAAGACTTTTTATTTGGTTTACAGTCATTTTCACAAGAATATTAGGCTAGGTCTCTTCAAATCAGAGCCAAGTGGAGGGTGAAACAGGTTGGCAAATTTATGCAGATGATGTTTAAGTCCTGTTTTCCAACTTCACCTTGTAGCATGTCATTTTGATTTGCAATTTGTTGTTTTATCCTTGAACTTCTTGGTCTTTAGTTCAACCAAACACTATCTAAATTTAGATGTTAACAGTGATGTCATTGATATACTTGGAAAGTACCTTATTCAAGAGGCAGTAGCTTCACAGGAATTTTTGATAAATAGATCAAAGGGATCTAACCTGTCACACGTGAAGTCAATCCCTGCTACTTTAATCAAAATGTGAATTTTAGCAACTGTCATTTATTATCTCCACTGTATCATAAATGTAGAATATATAGACAGTGTTAAAACACAGATACATCAAGCAGAAAGAACTCTTAATAGTCAAGTAAGATGATTCTTTATGGAATGCATAGGAAAAGCATTTTTCATTAAATTAGAAGTATGCATACAATACAAATTGCAATGAAAAACATTAAATCATTGGTTTGTGAATAATTGCTGATTTGAGAATTAGTGTATACTGCAAAAATTCTCCCAAGAATTTTCTGTATTACACATCTCCATTTATTTCCTTTAATGCTTCTACACATTCTGACCTATATTTAATCTATATTGTGTCTTCTATGTTCTAATCCCTTTACTAAACATCTTTCACAAAGAACACTAAAAAAAACACCATGTTGCTAATCAATCATTTCCATCCATCTTACTTGACATCTCAGTATGATGTGGCATGGTGATTTATCTTTTCAGATACCCTCATGTCTACCTTCTACTGCACACTATGTTTGGTTGCTTTTTTCTCTTGTCACTGTAGGTACTGCTCTGTTATTAGAAGCTTATCCTTTTTCTACAAATCCATAATATGTCAGTTACTCAACTATACTGACTCCGGCATTTTTTTCTTTTTTACTCTATAGTCAGTGTAGGGAATGCCATTGATCTCCACAGTTTCAATTGACTATATATTTATGATGATCAAATATTTATTTCCAGTTCTCACATTTTTGCAAGCCTTAAATCTACTTGTTCAATTCAAGACACAATCAAATGTCTTTTTAAAAATATACACCTGAATAGCTAAAACACTTCTGACAAGTAGGTCAACAAAAACAAGCTAAAGATCTTTCTCTGTCATTTGTTAATTGTCCTCCAGGAGTTACTATTTAAACAAATTGTATTTATTTAAATTAATCCAGTCACACCATCAGAAAATGAAGTAACATATTTTATACATAGTTTAGTAAATTCAACATATCCATATCCAATGAATGATAAAATCTATGAATTATTTCACCTAAATATATTGGGCTATTTATTTGTAACTCCTGTGCCAAATTACCTATTATAGAATCCAAAAATGTTTTCAACTTTTACCAAGACCACTGAATAACATTTTCCAAACGTTTCTTTTTCTACCCGTGAGGCTTAACTTTGCCATACTAAAATCTGACTTGCCATCTAATTATGAGGAACCTTTCAATAGATCTCTATTATCTTTACATAAAACCAACATCCTTAGAATGGCCTACTGCAGCCTTGCATAAATAGTCCCTAATACAATATGCATAGAACAAATTATTATTACTATCAACTATTAACGAAAAATAACTTTTAACCTCAATAAGCTTATAAGAAAAGGAGAGATATCACTCAAATAATTCTGCAAGCAGATGTAAAATGCAACTGTGACTAGATAAAAAGTCTGTAGAGCTTTGTGAGCCTACAGTAAGGAGGCTTGATATAGGCATATAGGTGAAGGAAAGTTTGATTGTGTCTGAAAAATCTGAGCAGAAATCTAAAGATAAATTAGGAGTTAATTAGGTCAAAGAAAAAGACTGCAACATTGGCATACATCATCGCATTCAATGCATGTAGGAGGTTATTTAGATCCTTTACAAACAAAAAGACTATATATTCGTACTATACTATTCATTTATAATTGTTCAGGCTCATTTTACGACCCATAATACGGACTTGACTGTTGGGTGTACAATGGGAAAGCTTGAATATTCTGCTGTTAGTTTCAGTGCTCTATAAATTATTATAAGTGGCTAACTGAAATCTCAACAATGACTATGGATTTATCTATTACCCCTTGCAGTTCAGTCAGTTTTTGATTCATGTATTTTGATGGTCTTATTTTAGGTGTTTAAAAACATTTATGATTAAGTTCACATGATTAATTGACCCTTTATCATTATATCACTTTCTTATTTCTGGTGATAGCCTTTTGCCTAAAAAAATATATATTTTCCTAAATATATATATATATATGCCCTAGAATAGCCACTCCAGCATTCATCTAATTAATATTACCATGGTATATTTTTTCCATCCTTTTACTTTATCTGTTTATTTCTTTATATTTCACGTACTTCTTAACATAACTGTTTTGCTATTGAATCTAATAATCTCTGCCTTTTAATGGTATATTTAAGGAATTGACATTTAATGGTGATAATGCATATGCTTAGGCTTACACTTAACATTTTGCTATTTGTTTTCTATTCCCCTCATTTTTTTTCTTTGTTCCTCTTCACTTTTTCTGCCTTCTTTTGGATTAGCTGATTGTTTATATTCTATTTTATCTCCTTTATTGATTTGTTAGCTACAATTATTTTAGAAGTTTATAATAGTTTTCTATTTCTGTGTAACAAATTATCACAATTTAGAATCTTAAAAACACATTTATTATCTCACAGTTTTTCTACAAGTCAAGATTTTAAGACAGTTTTACTGGGTCAAGATTTTGCATTCTTCTCAAGGTCTCACAAGTTTTCAGTCAAGATGTTAACTGGGTAGTACTATTTTTGATTTGTTTGTAGAAACTTAATCCACTCAGGGCGGCTTGATTGAGGGCCCCACCTACTCACTGGCTATTAGCTAAAATCTATTTACAGGTCCTAAAGGCCACTCGCAGTTTCTTGCCATGTGGTACTTACCACAAGCAATTTGCAACATCGTTGTATGCTTCTTCCAAGCCAGAAGGAGAATCCCTCTTTTTTGTATGTGTGCAGTCCGCTAAGCCTCTGCTATATATGGAAATGGAGGTATGAGAGTAGCATGCTATCCCCCTCGGCCTAATAAGCAACCTAATCAATAGAATGACATCCCCATCACCTTTATTGTATTCTATTGGTCACAATTTCTCTGTACTAGAAAGAAAAAACATCACACAAGGAAATGACTCATTGGTAGCCATTCTAAGATGTGTTGGCACCATTGCTTCAGAGTCCAGTACACAGCTTTAACTTATCAGTTCACCTTCAAATGATACACAACTTCAGACAAACTATACAAGCATATAATTTACTTTTATTTCTTCTCTCCCACATTTTGTGCTACATTTTACTTTTATGTATGCTATAAATCCCACATCACAATTTTTTTTTCTTTAAAGATAGGGTCTTACTCTATGACCCAGGCTGAAGTACAGTGATATGATCAACTCATCACAGCCTTGAACTGGGCTCAAGTGATCTTCCCACCTCAGCTTCCTACGTAGACAGGACCACATTTCACTCCTTTGTATACATTCATATTTGAAGCTAATGTCATTTTTTTCTGCCTGAAAAACTTCTTTCATGTTTCTCGTAGCGTGTATCTCATGCTGAAAATTTCCTTGCACTTTTCTGTGTTTAAGAATGCTTTTAGTTAGCCTTCATTTTTGAAAGGTGTTTGCTGGAAATAGAAATCAAGGCTAACTTTTTTGATTCTTAAGTACTTGAAAGATGTTCCTCTACTGTCTTGCTAGTATTGTTCCAACAAGAAATTTCCCATAATCCTTATCTTGTTTCTCTGTATGTAACATGTGCCCCAATTACTTTTATAATTTTTTCTTTATCAAGGTTTTTGAGTTATGTAATTATGGTATAACTGGATGTCATTTTCTTAATATTTCTTGTGTTTGGGATTTGTGAAGCTTCATGAATATATGAATTAATATTTTTCATCACATTTCAAATTTTTTGGTGTTTATTACTTATGTTTTCTTGTCCTCTCTCTTTGCCTCTTTCTCAGACTCCACTTTCAAGTATATTATTAGGCTGTTAGAAGTCTTACAGGTCACCATTGATTTGTTCATGTGACTTTATTTTCATTTTTTAATATTCTGTGATTCATTTTGCGTAGTTTCTCTAGAGCTATGCTTCACTTTCATTCTGCAATGCTTAGTATATTATTAATACCATCTCATTCCATCTATCACATTGTAGTTTTCATCTCTACCAGTCTGATTTAGGTCTTTATTACAAGTTTCATGTCTCTAACTTTTTTTGACAGCTTGTATGACAGCAGTTTCAAGTGTACATTTAGTGGTTTTCTGTATAGAATTGTGCAAACTTCACCACCACCTAATTGTAGAACATTTTATTTAGCCCTTTAAAAGAAACACTATACCTATTTGCCGTCCCTCCCAATACTCTCTCAAGCTCTTATCCCCACCAATCCCCAGCCCTGGACAAGCACTATAGAAATTTATTTTGTTACTATAGATTTGTCAAATCTAGACATTTCACATAAATAAAATATTATGTGCTCTTTTGTAACTAGCTTCTTTCACTATGTTTTCAAGGTTCATTCATATTTCAGCATGTAGTAACCATTATTTAGTATGTAGTAACCATTATTTAGCATGTAATAAAGTTCTCTTTATTACTGATTAATAATACTTCATTGAATGAAAGTATGCGTTTTCACTCACCAGCTAATGGGCTTTTGGGCTGTTTCTTTCAGGTTTTGTGAATAATGCTGCTGTGGAAGTTTGTGTAATTTTGTGTGCTCATGTTTTTATTTGCCTTGGATATATAAGTAGGCACGAAATTGTGACTCATATGGTAACCCTATGTTCAAAGCATATGCACCATTTTACATTCCCACCAACAACATGAGAATTCCACTTTCTTCACATCCTTACCACCACTTATCTTTTTCATTATAGTTCTGATTATCTTTTTGAAGATAAGGGATATAGTTACAATAACTTGTTTTAATGTCCTTGTCTGTTGATTCTAATATTACTTCAGTTCTGATCAGCAAATTTGCTTTTCTGCTCGTTATGTGTTTACTTTTTTTTCTTTTTGCAAACTTGGTAATTTTTCATTGCATGCCATATGTAAATTGTACCTTACTGGTTGGTGAACATTTTTCTACTTCTATAAACACTACTGAAGTTTGGTCTTGTCATCTGTCATGATTTGTTAAGTTTGATCCATTTGGGTCTTACTTTTAAGAGTTAGATGGCACTAGAGCACTGATCAGCTAGGACTAATTACTGCCTACTAAATAACTACTAAATCAAAACTTTTTTGAGGGTACTCTGTCCAATGTCCTATGGATTATAAAGTTTTCCAGCCTGGTTAGTGGAAATAGTGACTATTTCTGATCCTCTGCGATGTCTAGATATTTTTTTTTTGAGACGGAGTCTCGCACCGTCGCCCTGACTGGAGTGCAGTGATGCAATCTCTGCTCACTGCAACCTCCGCCTCCCGGGTTCAAGCGATTCTCCTGCCTCAGCCTCCCGAGTAGCTGGGATTACAGGCGCCAGCCAGGACGTCCAGCTGATTTTTTGTATTTTTAGTAGAGACGGGGTTTCACCATTTTGACCAGGCTGGTCTTGAGCTCCTGACCTCGTGATTCACTCGCCTCGGCCTCCCAAAGTGCTGGGATTACAGGCGTGAGCCACCGCGCCCGGCCATTTTCAGATACTTTTAAAAATCTTTTGGGTAGTTTCTTGAGACACATACTGCTCAGGACTCAGCTGAATGGATATTCAAGAAAACTGCAGAACTCCAGTTCTCTCTGTGCAGTTTTCTTTCTCCTATACTCTGCAAAGAACGTTACCTACCTTGGTCTCCCCAGAATATCAGTTCTATTTTGCCAACGCAGACAATCCGCTGGGCTCTGTTTGAGTTCGCTGTCCGGCAGCGCATCTATAAAACATTAATATCCCTGAAAGCAGCATGTTTTTGAGCTCAGATCATCTCCCGGATCACTATTCTTCGTTACTGATTCCCAGCGTCTTAGAAACAGCCCCACTGTTTTGAGTTTTTTTTTTTTTTTTTTTTCTGAAGCAGTGGTAGATATTTCAAATAAAGTGTCAGTGCTGTGCGTTTCCCCGAAAACGCAAACTCAAGGAGATGCCTTCCCTCTTCCGCGTAGAGCGACAAGAACTCTGGGAGGCGCGCAGCTGAGGTGAAAGCCCGCTTGCCACTGGCACCGCTTACTGTCTAGCACGCAGGCGCAGAACCCAAAACTACGCCTGCGTCCAGCACCGCCCCGCGCCAGTTTGCGAATCCGCGCCTGCCAATTAGAGCGCACAATGGTCCTTGATGCACGCCCACTGACCCCCGCAACCAATCGCCTTTCCCGGCGCGAAGTCGACTGTGAATTCAAAGTACACCTAGGGATTGTGGGAAGGTTGCTGAACGCGGCACCGGGAAAGATGGAGGCGGCAGAAACTGAGGTGGAAACTGCAGTCCTAGAGTAAGTGTCTGCGGCCAAGTGGCAGCTCGGGGTGGGCCTGGGAGGACCTTGTGGGCTCCCCTGTATAACAATTGGTGCCCTCAATCCTGTACAGCTGTTGGGGTTCGACCCTGCTGTGAAGTGATCTTCATTGCAGCCCCGTCTTAGGTTCCTGAGGTGACTGTTGCCTGCTCCAGGAGTACGGCGATTGAGGGACCGTTCGCCTCTCCCCACATACACATACTCCACAGAGTGTGCTCTAGAAGGAGACAGTTTCATTTCTGTCTTCTTGTCCCAAACGACACTTCCCTAATTGCTTCTCGTATCTCCATCCCTGCCCCCTCGTAGACTGCTCCAGTCCCTAACAATGAAAAATCCTAGAATACACCAAGGCATCCAGCCCTCTGCCCTGAGTCCTTTCTCGGCTATTTCAAGACGCTGCCCCAACGCTAGTGCTCAGTGCCAGGAGGGATTCCAAGGCTCAGCATTCTTCCCCTTCCTTGCATATCTCCCTGGCTTCCTTCACATCCTAACTCAAATGGTTTCTATTCAGTGAGACACTCCCTATATAAAATCTCAGCGCTTTCCTCAAACTCCTTATACTCTAGCCCTGCTTGTTTTCTTTTTGTCACATATTACTACTGTATGCCCTCCATGCATACCATTACTGGTTGCAGTCTGTAGGCCCTTAAGGCCTTTGTGTAAACCCTGGTCAAGGCAAGACTCTCAATACTCATATACACATCAACATGTGTTTGTGTACACATGCGTACTATAGAATTAGCACCACAGGAAAATGCAATTTCCTGTGTTTCCTTGCCCCTCCAGGGTCCTGACTGAGGTAGCAGGCATCCTGGAACCAGTAGGCCTCCAGGAGGAGGCGGAACTGTCAACCAAGATCCTGGTTGAGTTTGTGGTGGTATGTACAAGATGGGAGCCAGCCTTTCAGAAGCCAGGGTCTGGTCCTGGCTCCTCTTATTGAGATACAGGACAGCATTGGTAGAGAGCAGACTTTAAGGAAACCTATAAAGAGGTAAGGATGTTCCCTGTCTCTGCCCTCCCTCTGAGCAGGACTCCCAGAAGAAAGACAAGCTGCTCTGCAGCCAGCTTCAGGTGGTGGACTTCCTGCAGAACTTTCTGGCTCAGGAGGACACTGCCCACGGTCTGGATCCCTTGGCTTCTGAAGACACGAGCCGTGAGTAGGCAGAGGATAGGAGTAGCAGCTGGCCTGAGTGGGGAAGATAGGAGGGTTTCAGTTAGGTCTCCCATTTGGCTGATGGGAAGAAGGAGGCCCAGTGTTGCAAGGGGGCAGTCTAGCAGGCCACCCTCACTCATGTTCTTATTCCTGGTGGCTCATTCAGGACAGAAGGCAATTGCAGCCAAAGAACAATGGAAAGAGCTGAAGGCCACCTATAGAGAGAACGTGGAGGCCATCAAAATTGCACTCACCAAGTCCCTGACTCAGATGGAGGAAGCCCAGAAGAAACGGACACAACTCCAAGAAGCATTTGAGCAGCTCCAGGCCAAGGTACACCCAGGGACCTTGAGTAGGGGGAGGGAAGGGCAGTTAGGTAAAAAGAGGGAAAGAGTGAGCAAGCTGAGTTGTGTCAGCTTGCAATCTTTCAAAATTCCAAACAAAAATAGACTTCTTCTGTTCTCTTTCCCTTGCTTATCTGCAGAAACAAATGGCCATGGAGAAACGTAGAGCAGCCCAGGAGCAGTGGCAGCTACAACAGGTAGGTTGATCCACCTAGGAGAGTATCTCTTCCCACCATCATGCTATTGCATGGACAGTATCCCCTACCTAGAAAACCTTCATTTTTCTTTCTCGTTTGAGGCACTGTAATATAAATACCAACATGGGCTTGAATCTCAGTATCACCACTTACCACTGGGTGACCTTGGGCAGGTCACCTAACTTGTATTTCTTTATCTGAAATGGAGGCAATAATAGCATCTACTCTATAGGGTTATTAAAGTGCTTAAAATAGTACCTGGCACATTGCAAGTTAAATAAGTGTTAGCATCACCTTCGTTCCCCTTCCCCAAAGAATGCCTCACCCTAGAACAGCTCATTCTGATATTTCTTTTTCTCTAGCCCCCTACTCCATCCTGAAGTGAATAGAGTCCCTCTTTTCATCAGTGAGTCTGAGCCCTGAGCTGGATGTAGGCTGGAGGGGTTAGAGGGATGGTTCTAAAACCTCAGTATCTGATATATTATGTCTGCACACTCACTCCTGGCAGGAGAAGCGTCTGCAGCATCTGGCAGAGGTTTCTGCACAGGTGAGGGAGCGTAAGATAGGAACTCAGAAGGAGCTTGAGGGGGTGTTTCAGAAACTTGGAAACCTGAAGCAGCAAGCAAGACAGGAGCGGGACAAGCTACAGAGGTAAGGCTGGGGGCATTGGCTGCAGATTCAGAATGGTTCAGCTGAGATTCCTTCCCTTCACACTTACCTCCTCTTTGTAGGCACCAGACCTTCCTCCAGCTTCTGTATACCCTGCAGGGTAAGCTGCTGTTCCCTGAAGCTGCCGCTGAGGCAGAGAATATTCTAGATGATAAACCCCAGCAGCTGGCTCGACCCGAGGAGCACAGTATAGGAGACATCATGGAGAGAGACCCTGGTGTGTCCTCCAAGGTAAATGAGAGATGGAACAAGTGGGCATGGGCAGGCAGGTGGAGAGAAGCTGGGAGATTGGCCTTATCCACTGTCTATCCTATATTTCTCCAAGGCTGATGGTCTACAACCTGCTCTAGATTCAAATTTGCCATGGCTCCCTGGAGGACAACAGCATGGAGAAAGATCCTAGAACAGGTCAGACTCCCAACTGGGGCCTTGGTGTATTTGGACTGCGAGTGTGGAAGGAGGGGAAAGCCTGGTTTACTTCTCTGTGCATCTGAGCTCTGTTACCCATGGAGCAGATAGGTGGTGAGAACAGGAAAGAGCTTATGTTACAATTTTAACACCTCCTTCCCATGCTCAGCACACCCAGAGCTAACTCCTATCTTCTTCTTCCCCAGTCCTCAGTCCTCTGACCCTCCCCCAACACACACACACAACCATCATTGCAAGAAAGACTGTGAACTCCTGAGTTCAGCCTGATTTCTGACTACAACCCAGGTGGGACAAGCTCTGGCATCTGTGGATTAAAAGCCCTGGATCTCTCTCAGTTGCATATTTGTTTCTTCATCTTCATATGCTGGCAGGCAGAACTGTTAATACAGATACTAAGAAGCCAATAACATGGCAGGAGCTGGGACTGTTTTGAACAAATGGTGTGCAGATGGGGAGGGGGTACTGACCTTGTGCCTCAGGAGTTGCTTCCTTCTATGATGCAGACATGCTGAATTTAATTCAAGGAGGAGGAGATTATTTTAGGCAGGTGGTTATATGCAGGGAAGATAATTTATTCACTAATCCAAATTGTATTCATGGATCCAAATGTTTGTTGAGTCCTTTGTGCTAAGGTTCTTGCTGTGAACCAGAGCTATAACAGTGAGCTCATCTGACCCTTTTAAGATATATAGCCTAGTGTTAACATTCTTGGTATCTTTTTGTGCCTTATCTAAAACATTTCTTGATCACTGTTTTTAGATGTTCATTTATTAGTTTTTTCAAAGAATCAGAGATTGGCTTTTGTCATCCACTGTTGTATGTTTTGTTTCATTGACCTCTAGTAATACCTTGATCATTTCCTACCTTCTGTTTTCAGATGGATTACATGTACCTTTTCTGTAAACTCTTATTTTTATCAGATGATCAGCTCATGTATTTGGATCATTATTTGGTTTCTGAAATAAATATCTAAGGCTATACATTTCTTTTGAGTTTATTTTCACAATCATTCAAAGCATTTTCTATTTTCTGTTATAATTATTTCATTGATTCATACGTTTAATTGAAAAATAATTTGGTCTTCTGTATGTTTGTGGGAGGATAATCTAAGTTTATTTTAATTTGATCAGAGGATGTCATTTACATAACAAACTTTGAAATTTGGTGAGTGAATTATAGCCTTGATGTGGTATTCTTTTTTAATGTTTCACATGAGTTTAGAAAGAATGCATTTTAGATTGTGTGTAGTATTTCCTATTAGATTATGTCTGTAGTTTTTTTTTCAATTTATATCTTCTATATTTTGTGGTCTGAGTATCACCTGAGAGAGGTGTGGGGCAGTCTTCAACTGGGATAGTGGAGTTGTTCATTTCTCTTTATAGTTCCATTTGCTTACTTACTTTGCTTTTTGCTATTAAATATTTTGCTTTGTACTATTAAAATATTTTATATATAAATACTTTGCTTTATACTATTAAAATATTTACATATTTTTACTTTTTTAAGGTGTATATAATTTTATATTTATATCTTTCTTCTGAACTGAACTTTTACCTTTGTATGATAGCCTACTTCATCTCTAGGCTACTGTGTTTAGCCTTGAAGTCTAATAGTTTTAATATTAAAACTATATTAATATATTAATATAACTTTGCCAGTTCTGGTTACTCTTTGCTTGACATCTTTTCACTTGAATTTCCATCCTTTTTTAGTTTCAACCTTTCTTTATATTTACAACTTGTATATAGCATTTAAAATGTTATTTTTTAGAAATTCAGTTTCATGTTTGTCTTTATGATTTTGTAGTTGTGTCAATTTTTTATTTTCTCTCTCTTGGTCTTTTACTTATCCCTTTCGTGTCTTTTAGTTTTATTTTTTATTGTTTTATTCTCATGCTTTTTTTGTTGTTGTTCGTTTGTTTGTTTAGAAGGTCTTGTCTGCTAGTTTAGCT